CAACCTTCTGCACCTTAGTAGATGGTCTTCATGTTGCTTTGGCCAGAACTTAATCACCTTGGAGCCAACCTGATGATAAGTCTCAACTTAGCTTAGATGGTTCTTGGAAGACAGATGACAGTCTAGTGATTGGTCCACTGGCATATCTGTCAAGAGCCCAGGGTCCCCCCCAGCCTACCTAGAGTGAGGCCTTGGAGGACTAGTGGAGAAGGAAGAAAATTAAGTGGAATAATAATAATAATAATAATGATAATAATAATAATAATGCATTTTGTAGCACCTAAGTTTCTTTTAGAGCCTTTCAAGTGTATTGCTTCTATGGTCCTTTCCTTACCACAACCCTGAGAAGTAGGTAGTATCATTACCACCATGTTCTAGGTTAGAAAACTGAGGGTCAGAGAGGGGAAGGGAGTTGCCCATGGCCACATAGCTGGGAAGTGGCGGAGTTGGGATTTGTATCTGGGCTGTGCTAACTGCTGGAGGAAATATAAAATTTAGCCAAGAGTCAATCTCTACCCTAAGGAGCTTACAGTCTGGAAGGGGGATAAGACACAAAAATGGATAACTCTTGTATGTAATAATATATTACATACATTAGAGAAAGACAGTGTTCCCTGAGCCCTTGACTCTGGGTGGGGCAGTGTTGGAGAAGGCTTCCCTCAAATACTCTGGCTTCCCACATCTTCATCATCTGGCCAAGTAGTGGGGAAGAAAAACAGTACAGAAACACATACTACACAGTAATGATAGTAATGTTTGCCTAATGCTGTGAGGTTTACAAAGTCCTAGTGGAGAATCTGTTTTGTTTGACCACACATATTTGTTACAAAGGCTTTGTTTTTGCTTTTTCTTGTAGATGGGAGGATGGGAAGGAGAGAAGGGAAAGAAAATAAGTGTTTGTTAATTGAAAAATAAAATGAAATGAAAAAAATTTACAAAGCCTTTCCTTCACATCCACCCTGGGATCTCAGTAGTTAAGACATAATCATCCTGGACATGTTTGGGACAAATAAGTGTACTTGGAAATAGAAAGCAAAGTAAATGGTTCGTGCCAAGTCTTGTAAACTTATGAGCTCTGGCTTCCCCTTGCCTGTAATCATACCATTTAAGCTTCCTTTAGGAGTTTTATTACCCAAGGAATTCCTGAGGATTTATTATTAGGGCAAGTTCCTAGTATATGATTCCTTCCTCTACAAGAAGGAAAAAGCCCTAGGGACCAGGGTCTATTGGAAGTACATAGCCCAAGCTCTTCATGGTTGCAGGGGTCAAGGCCGGTGAGAGGGTGACTATGATAAAGGAAGCATTGCATGCTCCAGACATGGGGGACCTGGCAGCCAGGAGGAGACAGGAGTAGAACATTAGGATGGTTCTGCAGGAAGCAGCCCTCAGTACCCAGAGCAGAGTGGAGCCTTGCTCCAAGGTGGAGATTGGCTTCTACCTCTCTGGATGCCCAACTCTGTGTCACTCACAGGAACTATCCAAAGGGGGCCAGCTGAGAGTTAAAAAAAGGGATTTCCATCTGAAATACCAGTACTTACTGAAGCCTCCGGCCAAGAACAAGAACATGGGGACATGAGCTCATTCTTTTTTGTGATTGGTGAGAACCAAATACAAAATGTACATATCACAGACATTTATTAAGTGCCAGCTGTGTGCATAGTATTGTGCTAAATACTGGAGGAAATATAAAATTTAGCCAAGGGTCAATCTCTACCCTAAGGAGCTTACAGTCTGGGAGGGGAATAAGACACAAAAATGGGTAACTCTCATATGTAATAATACAAAGGTGCATTAGAGAATGGCAGTGTTCTCTGAGCCCTTGACCCTGGCGGGGGCAATGTTGGAGAAGGCTTCCCTCAAATACTCTGGCTTCCCACATCTTCAGCCTCCTCAGTTCATATACCCTGCACCTTCCCTCCACCTCAGCCACACAAATGATGATCATTGCCTGGACCTCATTCTCACCTGGGAATGTTTTACCTCCATGATCCAGAGCACTGAAGTTGCTTTTTGGCCCGTGACCTGTTGTTCCATCTTTCCCCGAGTCTCTCCTGTATGATACCCCATACCTTGTCCTCACTACACCCTCCATTTTCTCCATCCCTCACTGCTTTTCCAGGCCCTAGCTCCTACTCTGGCCTCACTTTCCTTCCTTCAAAATCTTGATGCTGTAGCTGACCAGTTTAACTTGGTGCTATACTTTACCCTCTTTGCTCCTTTGCCTTCTCACCACTGTACCCTCACCATCTGAACTTGGCTGTCCCTGCTTCATGGCCATTCTTTTATTTTCAGCAGGTTGGCTCTGTATTACACGTGCCACCGAGCACCTACTCTAAATCTTTTCTCTTCAGGCCACCTAGGCTACCCTCCTTCTCTTCGGAAGACCTCACCTTATACTTTACCAAGAGAGCTGAGCACACCTGTCAGGAGTTCCCTCTTCTCCCAACTTTACACCTCAGATCCCTTCAACATCATCTTCTGCCTTCCCCTTTGTTTCCATCTCTAAGGAAGAGGTTGTCCTATTTCCCAAGGACAGCCCCTCTATTTGAGCCCTTGATCCCATTCTGTCTTCTCTTCTAAAATCTTTCCCCTTCAGTCACACCCTCTTTCTTTATAATCTCCAATCTCTCTTTTTCTGCTGGCTTCTTACCTGTTGCCCACAAGCATGCCCACATCTCTGCCATCCTTAAAAATACCTTTACTTGAGTCTGCCAACCCCCCCAGCTATCATCCTCCCATTCACAACCGAACTTCTACAATAAGCTGAGATAGCCAGGTGATGTGGTGGGTAAGAATGCTGAATTCAAATTCTGCCTCAGACACTTTCTAGCTGTGTGACCCTGGGCAAGTCACTTAAACTCTCTCAGCCTCAGTTTCCTCAAACATCTATAAAATGAGCATAATAACACCTACCTCCCAGGGTTGTTGTGAGGATCAGATGAGATAACATGTGTGAAGAGTTTTGCAAACCTTGTATAAATGCTTGCTTTCAGTTGCCTCTACATCCTCACCAATCACTTATTTCTCAACCCTTTACAATCTGGCTATAGACTCCACCCCTCCACTGAGACTGCTCCCTCAAAGTTTATTAGCATTCTCCTCCACTAACTTCAATGGTCTTTTCTGAGTCCTCATGTTCTTGACTACTCAAGCTTTTGCTCCTGCTGACTGGTCTCTCTGCCCTCCGTTTTCTTGACGCTGCTGTCCTGGTCATCCACCTGTCTGTGGATCCTTTCTCAGTTCTCTTTGCTAAGTCATCAAAATCCTACCTGCCAGGTACTGCAGGGCTCTGCCCTGATCTCTCTTCTCTTTCTCCCCTGCATTCCATCTACATGACATCATCAGTTCCCATAGCTCTGATGGTCGTGTCTATGTAGGTGACTCCCAGATCTACACATCCAGCTCTCCTCTCTCTGCTGAGCTTCAGTTTGCTGTCATTTACTGCCTTGGTGTCGCATAGGCATCTCAAACCCAATACATCCAAAGAAGAACTCATTATCTTTCTCCTAGAACCTCTCTCTTTTCCTAACTTCCTTGTTTATGTTGCTTTCCTGTTATGATGCTTTCCAAGCATCCAGGTGTGTAACCTCAGTCACCTTTGGTTTCTCACTCTCCTTCATTGCTCATGTCCTATCAAGGGCCCAGTCTTGTCCATTCTAACTACATTCCCTCTCATACCTCTGTCTTCTCTCCAGTCATAGAACCATCACCCTAGATCGGGCACCCATTACCCCTTGATTGATATAGCCTTCCTACTGGTCTGCCTGCCTCAAGGCTTGCCCCTGCCAAACTGAAGTTCTTTTTTTGTTCAATTATTTATTTAGTATTTTATATATTTTTCTCTAATTATGTGTAAAAACAATTTTTAACATTTTTTAAAAGCTTTTCAGTTCCAAGCTCTTTCCTTCCCTCTATTCCCCCTTCATTGAGATGAGCAATTTGCTACAGGTTCTACATGTGCAGTCATGCAAAACATTTCCATATTATAAACCAGATTTCTTAAAGTATAGTTTGGATTATTTCCCTCGCTTTGCTCAAGAAGATGCAGTGGCTCCCTATCTCCTTAATGATAAAATAGAAACTCCTTTATCATGTAAAGCCCTTCACAGTCTGGCTCCAGTCTGTCTCTCCACATTGCTACGATTAAATATACTTTTTTCTCCCT